AAAATAACAACTTAAAAATAGACTAACCCAACATAATTTAAAGGCTGATACTATAAACAAACTGGGAAAGCAAGAAAGTTTACCTGTCAGATTTATGGAGAACAGAAGAATTTATGACTCAAAAAGAGATAGAGAACATTATGAAATGCAAAATGGGCAATTTTGATTACATTAAATTGAAAGGTTTTTGCACAAACAAAGCCAATGCAACCAAGATTAGGAGGGAAGTAGAAAACTGGGAAAGAATTTTTACAACCAATGTCTCTGATAAGGGCCTCATTTCTAAAATATATAGATAATTAAGTCAAATTTGTAAGAATACAAATTATTCCCCAAATGATAAATGGTCAAAGGATATAAACAGGCAGTTTTCAGATGAAGAAATTAAAACTATCTATAGTCATATGAAAAAATGCTCTAAATCACTATTAATTAGAGTTGTGAATTGATCCAACCATTTTGGAGAATAATTTGTAATTATACCCAAAGAGATATAAAAATGTGCATACTCTTTGACCCAGCAATAACACTTCTAAGGCTGTAGCCCAAAGAGATAATATAAATGGGAAAAGGACCCACATGTATAAAAATATTTATAGCAGCTCTTTTTGTGGTGGCACAGAATTGGAAATTGAGGGGATGACCTTCAATTGGTGAATGGCTGAACAAGTTGTGGTATGTGAATATAATGGAATACTATTGTGCTACAAGAAATGATGAGCAAGCAGACCTCAGAAAAACCAAGAAAGACTTGTATGGTCTGATGCTGAGTGAAATGAGCAGAACCAGGAGAACATAGTACACAGTAACGGCCATGTTGTGTGATGACTAACTTTGATAGAGTTAGCTCTATGCAATGATCTAAGATATCTCCAAAATGCTATCCACATCCAGAGAAAGAACTACGGAGTTTGAGTGTGTATCAAAGTATACTATTTGCTCTTTTTTTATTCTGTTTTGTTTCTTCTCTTTTGTGGTTCCTCCTATTGGTTCTAATTCTTCTTTACAACATGGCTAATGTGAAAATATGTTTAATAAGAATGTATATGTGGAGCTTATATCAGATTGCATGCCATCTTGGGGAGGGAGGAAGAGAGCGAGGGGTAGAAAATTTAAAACTCAAAAGCTTATGCAAATGACTGTTGAAAACTAAAAATAAATTAATATTTTAAAAAACAGACTAACCCAAATGGCAAAAGAGGTCTGAAGAGCCAATGAGAAAAAGAAAGCTTAAAAAAGCAGAATTGGCCAAATGGAAAAGGAGGTCCAAAAGCTCACTGAAGAAAATAATTCCTTAAAAATTAGAATAGAGCAAATGGAAGCTAATGACTCTATGAGAAATCAAGAAATTATAAAACAAAACCAAAAGAATGAAAAACATAGAAGACAATGTGAAATATCTCATTGGAAAAACAACTGACCTGGAAAATAGATCCAGAAGAGAAAATTTTAAAATTATTGGACTATCTGAAAGCCATGATAAACAAAAAGAGCCTATACATCATCTTTCAAGAAATTATCAAGGAAAATTGCCCTGATATTCTAGAACCTGAGGGTAAAATAGAAATTGAAAGAATCCACTGATCACCACCTGAAGGAGATCCTCAAAGGAAAACTCCCAGGAAAATTATAGACAAATTCCAGAGTTCCCAGGTCAAGGAAAAAATATTGCAAGCAGACAGAAAGAAACAATTCAAGTACGGTGGAACCACAATCAGGATAGCACAAAATTTAACAGCTTCTACCTTAAAGGATTAGAAGGCTTGGAATATGATATTCTAGTGGTCAAAGGAGCTAGGATTAAAACCAAGAATCACCTACCCAGCAAAGCTGAATTTAATCCATAAGTGGAAAAAAATTAGCATTCAAAGAGATAGAGGAATTTAATGCATTCTTGAGAAAAGACCAGAGCTAAATAGAAAATTGGACTTTCAAATACAAGAATCAAGAGAAGCATGAAAAGGTAAACAGGAAAGAGAAATCATAAGGGACTTATTAAAGTTAAACTGTTTATATTCCTACATGGAAAGATGATATGTGTAACTCATAAGACCTTTCTCATTATTAGGGTAGCTAGAAGGAGTATATATAGACAGAGGTCACAGGTGTGAGTTAAATATGAAGGGATCATATCAAAAAAATTAAGTTAAGGGGTGAGAGAGGAATGTACTGGGAGAAAGACAAAGGGAGAGGTAGAATGGGGTAAATTATTTCACATAAAAGAGGCAAGAAAAAGCTTTTACAATGGAGGGGGAAGAGGGAGGAGGTGAGAGGGAATGAGTGAACCTTACTCTCATCAGATTTGGCTTAAGGAGGGAATAACATACACATTCAATTGGACATGGACATCTATCTTACCCTACAGGAAATTAGGAGGCAAGGGGATAAGAGCGGGGAGGGTGATAGAAGGGAGAGCAGATTGAGGGAGGGGGTAATCAGAAGCAAACACTTTTGAGGAGGGACAGGGTAAAAGGAGAGAATAGAATAAACGGGGAATTATAGGTTAGAGGGAAATATAGTTAGTCTTTCACAACATGGCTATTACAGAAGGTTTTTGCATGACTACACCTATAACTTATATCTAATTGCTTGCCTTCTCAATGAGGGGGGAGAGAGAAAGGGAGAGAATTTGGAACTCAAAGTTTTAAAAATGAATGTTAAAAATTGTTTTTTACATGTAACTGGGGACAAATAAAAATACCAAATTGAAAAAATCCACCAGTATCTAGGAGTGGCTTGAGTACATTAGATCCATGTGTGGCCACACAGCCAAAGATGAGAATGACTGGTGAGGAAAACAAATAACAAAATGCCTCATTGCCTAGCCCAAGGTTTCTGCTGCTTTAGCCAGAGGATCCCTCCCTCCTTTTCCTTCCTCTTTCAAGGTGCAGGAAATGAATAGTAAACTGCTTCCTCTTTTTTGAACTTCAGAGAAAAAATTGCCACTCACCCAGCCCTTTGTAGTTCTGTACTCTGCGTCAATAAAAAGGGATTCCAAGATGATGAACCAGAGACAAAAGAAGAAAACAGAAGTTCTTGAACTCCTACGTCCTGTTCTCTTCATGCTTCCCATTACTGAATCCTTTCTGTAGATTGGCCTACTCTGTGAGAGCAGGCAAGCTCCTATACCTCCTGTTGTTGTGTTGTTTCAGTCATATGTGACTCTTCCTGATCCCATTTGGGGTTTCCTTGACAAAGATATTGGAGTGGTTTGCCATTTCTTTCTCCAGCTCATTTTACATTTTACAGCCCTGAGGCAAACAGGGCTAAGTGACTTACCAGGGTCACAAAGCTAGTAAATGTCTGAGGCCAGATTTGAACTTAGGTCATCCTTGCTCCAGGTCCAGCACTCTATCCACTGTACCACCTAGCTGCCTTCTACATCCTGTGAATTTGGGCAATAATTCCCAGGAAAAACCCCACTTGGGAGGAAATGGGAATGATCTTAAAGCACTGTTATGCATCTGAACTGAGGGTGAGAAAGAGAAAAGGCAGGGAATATTCTATTGGAGCCCAGTTAGATTTCTTTTTCCTCTGCCTCCTGCTAAGGCCAGTCACTTGATCCAGGTAGAGCAATGGGAATATTCTAAGCTAAATCAAGGAACCAGAAATGAAAATGAAAGATTGAGATCTCATGCAATCATAGCTTCCAATATAAACTGAGTGGTAGTATCTGGTAAATAACCAGATGAGCTACAGTGAAAGAGAGATAACCAAGGCATGGAAATCCATACCTACTGGAGCTAACGTGAAGGACAAAGGTGCCAGTGATTGCTTCTATCCACAACTTTGAGACAAACTTAGCTCAGAGATGCTGGCATTTAATTAGAGTATCCGAACCAAATGTGGATAAGCCAGGAGGTCTGCAATGTCTCCTCACTCACCCTGACTTGGCCTTAGTATGTCATCTCCCAGGGTCCTATGGCTGTGATGCTACTCTCCTGGGGAATCTTGCCTTCTTGCTTAGGTGGACTGCCCCTCTCTTTGGATGCTCATTCCCCAGAACAATGGGGGATCAGTAGTAGACTGCCCAAGGTCAGGGTGATCAGGGAAAAGGGAGGGTGAACAGCTGCCAAGATGGCAAGGGTTGGCCCCTTCTCTCTATATCCATGAAAAACTCTATAAAGCCAGGGACTGGGCCTTCCTCCTCTCTTGATCTCACTGGCCTGGAAAGTTGTGGCCTGCACAACTGGATGATTCAGGTAACATACGTTGATGATTTTTGCAATTCATAGGTTTCCCATCAAACAAATCATCCGCTCCCTTGCTCTGCCAATATAAGCAGGTGTTGGGGGAGAAGGTAAATTTCTCTTAGAGACAGAATCTTCAGAGTCACTTACTCCCTATCCTTTTGATCTGACCTTGGAGTTTTAATGCCTTTATCATCTCCAAACTTGGAGGTCCCCATGAAACATTCCTTACACATTACTATTCCCTGCCTCTCTAATCCCTGTGACTCAAAGCTTCCTTCTGCTAGGCAAAACAAAAACAAAACCAAAAAAGCCCCTCCCCTTATAAGTCCCCCATACTTGTCCCTACTCAGCTCAGTCCTCTCCATCCAGAGTTCTAATTATTTTCTACCCTCCCTTCCCACTGTGACCTCTAGTACCTCTGTTCACCAAATCCCCTTCATTCTAGAGCCCTTCTCACACTGCTTTCATCTTCTAATGTTCCCTGAATCCTGGCTTTCTCTTAAAGATGACCTCTCTTGGCCCCCTCTCCAAGGCTGGATGCTCTGCTCACTGCCACTTCCCCCACCTCCAAGTGCCAGGAGGAGTAGCTAACATGCTCTGTGTTCCCCACTGTCTTTTTCAGACTTCCCTGTGCTTCCATCAATTAGCATCTATTTCTCCTCCTTGTAACTTCTTACCACTATAGGGAAAGGAGGTTTCTTCTGTTTACTCAGTAAATCACATTGAATGGAATAAGATGAGGGTTTGAAACAACTGATTGATGAAAAAAGTTGCCATTTTATTAACTGTTGAGAGAATATCCCAATATGTCTCTGAGTTATGTGAGGGCTTGACATGATGGTATAAAATATGAATAAACATGTGAAGGGGCAGATTGAGAGGTGACCCACAAGAGAGTGCTGGTCAACTCTCTAATTCTTTCCATGTACATATTTGCCCTATCTGTGATTTCAGCAGTACTTGGAGCTAGAGGAATTCACTTCAAGGGTCAGGGTGCTAGAGGAGCAAGCACAGAAGTTGAAGAACAAAGATGATGGAGCCCAGATCTCTGGGGGTGGAATCACAGTATACCCTCAGGTAAAAGAAACAGAAGATTCCAAAGGTCGAGAATCCTCATTCAAGGGGGAGCAGGAAATCCAATTTTGTGCTGCTATCCCCATCCCCTTCTGCTCCCTTGGGTTATCTTCTAAGGACCCTGTCTCCCAGCATCCACAGTCTGACTAAGGCGGGCTCCACATATTGGCTAGCCAACGAAAAATCTGATTCACTGATGTTTTTGCTGATATTGTTGTAAGCAAACACTGAGATTATTAAAGGACTATCATGGGGGGGTGGAAAACAGGAAAGTAGGAGTCTGTGACCAGTGTTGAAAGTGACCATTAACAAAGAATTCCAGGAAAATATAGTTGATTTGTTCTCTATTTCCTTAAGAAACAGTCAGGAAGGAAAATGGAAGCAAGTTTTCTATATGAAACTGTCAGGATGGCTTCCTGGCAACGCAGTTGGGTCAGCAACTGGGCTCTGAAGTGTGGTCCCTTCTTTGCAGGCTTCAGCAGCAGAGTTCTCTGGCACGTGGGTAGAGGGAGGCATAAAGATGACAAACTGTAGAGTCAAGAAAAATCCCAGAGATGAGTCACTTTAAGGTGCAGAAAGAGAGCTGCCGAGAGTATTAGGGCAGAAAAACTTTAGTGACATCACCCTTCTGCGGAGGGCTGACCCTGGTTAGACAGGACAGGAAGGGTGGCCTCGTGAGGAGCTGGCTGGCCAACTTCTCATACCCACTTGTTCTTCCTATTCATTCTCAACTCCTCCTCCCCATCACCCTCTTTTCTTTCCATCTTCTTTCTATTTTCTGGCATCCTGGCCCTCAGGCCATCTCAATCTTTCTCTAGGTTCATTCTTAACTATACTACTCTCTGGAACTTGTCCAAAAAGGTTAAAAAAATTTTTAAAGACTAACCCCGTAACTACCTCCTTCATTTAGGCTAAACCTAAAGGTGTCACTATAACCCAGGGAAGCTCAAGTCAAGCCGTACCCAATTAATGAGACTTAAGGAGCCCACGTGGAGCATAGTTTGCCATACCCCAGTAGGTACCCTCTCCCCAGCCAGTCCTCTTAAGTGGGTTGTCAATGGGTGTACCCCACACGCTTTCTAGCAAGATTCAGTGTCACAGAGAGAGACTTACTATCCCACAAGGTTATCAAATTCACCGCAGCAGCACTCCCTTGTCTTATAGAGCCAAAATGGGACAGACAAGATACTCCTCGTGCTCTGCTATTTTTCATAGGAATATGGTCTCACTTTGTGAGGTGAATGGTAGAGTCTTGGGGGAGTGGTGACGGTTTGGGAGAAAGATTAAAAGGATTAAGCATAGACTTGCCCCTCTTTGTGCCTGGGACTTCCTGACATGTCCTCACTGCTCACCTCAGGGCTTGGTTTGACTCTGACATTGGATATAATACTTAAGAGCAAGGGTGGGGAACCTGTGGCCTGGAGGCTACATGTGGCCCTCTAGGTTCTCAAGTGGGGCCATTTGAATCCAAACTTCACAGTATAAATCCCCTTAATAGAAGGATTTGTTCTGTAAAACTTGGACTCAGTAAAAAGACCACACTCAAGGACCCAGAAGGCCACATGTGGCCTTGAGGCCACAGGCTCCCCACTGCTTAAGAGTATGAAGACAGAGACACAAAAATCCCTAGTTCTCCTCTTTGAAAATAGCTTGTCCTCTCACTAGTCCCTGATTTGACCTGCTGACTGATCCTCCCAGGAGAATCAGAGTCACCACATAGCATCAGCTACTCACCCCACTATGCAAACAGCAGATAGCGTTGCAGCCAAAGGCAGAGACCCCAAGGGAGACGGCAAATTCTAATACATTTAAGATCAGCAGGAACCCATTGCTTCCCTGGAAAGAGAGACCAAGCAGAGAGTGGTGAAGGGTAAACCAGCCCCACCTCTAACAATTCAGGAAGAAATGAGGTAAAGGAGAGTACTGAGTGGGGCAAGATGGGAGATGAAGGACCGTCCTGAGACAAAACTTGAAACACATTAAAGCAAACGTTAAAGTGACATAGGAATGTTAACTATTATTATTATTACTACTACAATGATTATTGTTAATAATAATAAGGCACATTCCAATGGCACTTTCAGATGCACAAAGCACTTTCCTCATAATAATCCCGTGAGGTATGTCATGCAAAGATGATCCCCACTTTGTGCGTTGGGAAATGAAGGCGAAGAAATACCTGTCTATGGTCACTCAGATCTACATCCTTTGTGCTCCACCCCACGTGCAATCCATCCTGGCATCCATCTGGCCCTATCATAGGTATTCAGTACAGATTTATTTCATTTAAAATACCCTAAATTCTCTAGAAGACAGAATTGTGCATCCTCTTCAAGACAATAAATGTTAATCGATCAATTGATTGTCCAAGGTTTGATTTCTATTGTTGTTTTCTTCGCAGTTTTTGGTGACTTCTGGACTGTTTGGGCAATCGTCGGCTACTCCTTGAGGTCCCACAGTCCCCTGAGGTACCTGCAGCCACCAAAGGTCTAATCCTAGGCATGCACTTAAAAGTTAATAATCCACCAAGGGAGAAGTGAACAAAGACATTTGTTCGAGGAACTCCGACATGCTAAGTCTGTTCCTAATCTCAGTTTTAGTCGTCCCTCTATTCTACTTTCCAACCAAATGAGCCTTAGATCCCCTATTCCCCAACATTTCCCTGCTCTCTCCCTTTTCCATGGCATTGCTCACAACCACCACAGGCCAGGGACAGGCTATGGCATAACCCCACCTTTACTTTTGAAGTTTGTCTCTTCCTTTAAGGACCATCTCAGTTGACATCTTAAACACATTCTTGACTCAGCACCCCCTCCACCAAGGAAACCACCTTCCTTAAAGGTTCAGAACCCTACAAAACCTTAATGTCTCTGCCCTGGCCTGTAAAGATTGTCAGTTCCAAAGATCCATGATCATAATTGGCCCCAGTTTGGAAGTACTTACCAGTAATAGAGAGTGACCAAAAACACAGACATCATGGTAACCTTCTTGGCGACAGTAATAGTAGTGGGAGTATGCAAACATTACCAAGTTGAATGAGAAAAAGATGATTCCCAGTCCAGCCACCACTGAGCTAACAATGTTCATTGCAAGGCTGCTTTGGATCTGAAAGCACATAAGAACGGCCAATCCATTAACACATAATTATGGAGTTGCTACCGTGTATTCAGTCTTGTTCAAGACACATATGTGCATCCAACAGCAACAAGAGAAAGATGCATCTATGGAGTGCCAACTGTGTATGCAAGACAGTATGTCAGGCACTGGGGTTACAAGGACTAAGGGTAAAAATGCTCAGGTCTCAAAATCCTTCCATTTTACTAAGCAATGCAACATGTGTATGGGAATCCTTTCTTTACATTTATGTAAAGATAATTGAGGAGGTCAAGGGAACTGAAAAGTCAAGAGAACAATTTTTATTTCTGCCAGTATGACTGCAGGCTCTACCAGGTAGTAATCTGAGTAATGGGAGAGCAGTCAATAGTGGTTCATCCCCTCTGTGACCCTAGGTTACAAACTCAGCCATGTGTCATTGACCAAGCAAGCCTACCATAGCCCAGCCAAGGTTTGCTGAGGCTGTCTCTCAATAATCCTTCTATTTTCCCCTCCCCTTTCAAAGGACACAAAAAAAGATCAGAAGTTTCTTCCTCTTGAGCTGCAGAGAAAGAGGGAATGCCACTCACCAGAGGATATGTGGTTCTGTTCTCTGCAGCAATGGAGAGGGAGCCAGAGATGATGAACTGTGGACAAACATCAACACCTTAAAACCTTCATTTCTTTCCCTGATGTGCTCACTCTTGCCCAACCAGTCACCGAAACCTGACTCCTCCATCCCTGAAAACTGGATATTTCTGATGGACCCAACTTATGGTCTGAGAGCCTTTCAGACATTTGGACAAAGGACAAGTGGACAAGCCTGCCTTCTTTCACAGTGAGAATTAGTACAAATCACTCTAAGGTTAAGTAACCCTGCTCAAAAAAAAAAAAAACAAGGCTAGTCTCCCATGGCTTGAACTTAATGAAGCCCTACTGCCTCTTTGTAGTGATCACTTGCCTTTCTAGACATAAACTGACCTATCACGGGTGATACATTCTAGAATTTTGCCAGGATTGAAGTCAAACTCACCAATTTATAATTCGAAGACCACATTGTCTTCCCTTTTTTGATGATCAAGACAAATGCCATTTTTCAGTCCTAAAGTACTTCTCCTGTTCTCTATCATCCCCTCAAAATTATTGAGATAGGCCTACAATCAGTTCTGCATATTCTTTCATGTATTTGCAGATGGGACTTGATTGGGACCTAATAATGTGAAGTGATCGAGGGTAGATGATCACAATCTTATTTTCTAATTACTTTTCTTGGGCAGCATCTCTCTAATAGTCATTTACCCACTGCAATCCAAAGATTATTCTCTGGGAAAAAAAATTCAGCAGTCTTCTCCATATCATCCAGGATAATGTTCATACCTCCACCTTGAGATGAGACATTTCACCTTTTTTGATCTTCCTCTTCACAAATATAATTTGTGTTTTATATGTACTACCCACTTCAGCTCATTCTGAGCTTTGGTGTTCTTGACACTATTCATATTGGACCCTTCTGATAGTTTAGTTTTTTTCTTTGTCCTCAACCTGCATAACCTAGTCCTATATTTGCTTTCATGTTTATATTAAAAAATCAAAATTCGCAGACACTGAATTCTTTATACAACTCTTAACTTTTTCTCTCACTTAGAATTCTTTCTCTTTATTTCATAATTTCATTCTTTAATGCTTCTCATTCCTCCTTGTCTAGCTATATAATATTAGGTCATGAGATATTGTATAATCCTAGATTCCTTAATTTCCTTCAAGATTTACCCCAAGAGTTAGTATGAATATGCCACCCAACTACTATTGCCCCCTGAAATTCCAGTGCCTTTACCATGTGTCTATTCTGTATTTACTTTTACATGCAAAAGGGATGGAGGCTGGTTTGTTCTTCTCTCCTCATTGCCTCAATCAAGGTGCATGGACCATAGGAAACATTTAAAATTACTCGCTGATAGGATGATTGATTGATTGCACTTCTCTAAATCTAGGCACTATGACAAACTGTAGTAGGCTTTCCTTTGGATATGGATATGGATATATATGTATGTATGTATGTGTGTATGTATGTATGTATGTATGTGTACGTACATATACATGTATACACACATATTTTTATGTTACAAAAGTTTCTTTTCTACCTTTTCTGGCAATTGAAAGAACTATATGATAAAGGGATAATATCTCAGATATTCATTAAAGCAGGATCCTTAAGGGATTTTTCTGGGCCCTTCCAGTTTTTTACTCTATACTATTGAAAGTAATATACATACTTTACTAAAAAGATGCCATAATTCAGATTTTAATCAGTTTTGCCTGACTCTTTCTCACCTTTACACAGAGACACAAACATGAGGGACAAAAAGATGAAATTAATTGCACTACAAGGAGGGCACAGAATGGGTACATCTCCATGGACAGACAGACAGACAAATGGATAGATAGATAGATAGATAGATAGATAGATAGATAGATAGATAGATAGAT